TTGTAGGCTTTGAATCTACAATTTCAACGTCATGAAAATTTTGTTTGTCCTCATAGCAATATCGGGAAACAAGTGCTCATATTTGAATAATAACTGTTGAAGTTCCTTTCTTTCTTCTTGTTGCAAATGTAAAAGTTTTTGGTCTATATCTTTCATAATTTCCGAATTCCGAAGATTTGTTGCTCCAAGTTCAGCAGTGTCCAATTAAATTCTTTCACAAAAATCCTCAGTTTGTGGGACAGGTACCACTAAATGAATTGTATGATTTACTTGGCTATCACTAAACTAATTGTAATAAATATCATGGCTATCACTTTCAGTACACAAGTACTCCATTAATTTATTTAGATCAGAGTACTATAATTATAATTTAACTCATTCCTTATCTTCTTTACTTTGTAAGGACCTTAAAATCTAAATTGAAGAAAATTTTGAAGAATGAGCAAGAGAGAATGAACTTTATCATAACTCAAATATTCTCAAGTAAAATTTTGTGAAACCTTAGTCTCACTTTTGACTTAAATTGCAGAGCGCCAAATTCAAGCATAATTTGCTGAAAAAGTCCAGACATGAAATTTGACCTGATTGGACAGATATAGAAAGGCCAAATTGAGTATAAAAAAAAGCTTTTACTATAGAATTCCTCAAAGAAATTGCCTCTGGGAATCTTGTTGACATGCATAAAGGTCAACAAATATTGGTTGCCTGACTTGGTCTTAGGTAAGGGACCCAACACAATCTACCATCAAATGCAGGAAATGGTTGTAGATTAACCATGGATATCTTCTGATTGGGTTTTCCTAACATCTGACAAGTATGACGATCAAAATTTACAAATATCAATTTAGATTTGTGGCCAATAAAAGTGAGTCAAGATCTTATTATAAGTTTTATTTATACCTAAATGACCAGCCAGGAGTTTCAAGGGCCAAACTAAGTATTTCCTGTCTGTAAGATTTTGGAACTTCAATCTGATAGTTCACTGACCATTTGTCATTAGCAGGTACCTCGGGAGGTCTCGATTATCTCATAAGAATTCCAATTTAATGAAGTAACAGACTGGTACTTCAGTTGCTTCAGTTTCAGCTAAAAGGAATATCTTGTGAAAATCGTACTGAAGAGCTTTCTTTGACAGCTCTGGTAACTGCACATGCTGCTTATGGTATTCTTTTTCAATTGGATCAAGTTTCTGATCCATAGAAAGCTTGTCATTTACAAGTGGATTAACCACAACCTTGTCTCAAGCTAGGTCGTTGTCTAGCAACAAATGAATGCCCTCAATGGTTAGGTTAATACTATGCCGACTGTCACATGTCTTGAAACTAAGTCTAATAACAAATTAACAGAATGGAGAGGATAATTAACAAAGCCGCACTCTAATCCCTGAATAAGAACACTCATTAGAACAGAACTTCTCCGGAAAAGAAACACATGACACTAAAAGACTGAGAAGCTCCTGTATCCCTTAAAATTTTAATAGGAATATGATTGGCCGAATCAACCAAGAGTAATATAAAACCCTTTACATGAATGGTTCATAATTCAACATAATAAAATCAGACTGGGGATTATTAGACCCAACAAATGTATTGCTTTCAATACAAGACAGTGACCTTGACCTCTTAGAAATAAGAGCATTTGGGGTAGGTCTATCTTGATTCTGATGCCTATATTTCAATCTGAAGCAATCAGAAATGATGTGTCCTATTAACTTGCAATAGGTCCACATTGACAGACACAAGAATTTTCAACCAAGTCTCTCAGAGGCTTGATTTTTAGAATTTGTGCCAGACTGAGTTTTACTGAGAGTCGTATTAGGCTGTACTACCTTCCTAACAGTAGATTGCCAAGTGAATGTTTTGCTTACAACAGGAACTTTATGAGTTAATGAGTACTTATCAGCAGCAAGAGCAGCATTGTACAAGGTTTCAATCTCGTGCTCCTCAAGATGATTTCGTAATATCATTTTTCGAATTCTTCAATTAACACAAGTTGTTCAAGACTTTCATAACCATATTCAGCTTTCTTGGCTTAGCACCATCTCTTAAATAACTTCTTTTTCTCTAGCAAATTCGACACAAGTCTGCCCACTTTCCTTTTTATAGTTACTGAATGCCAATAAGCCTCAGGGACTAACGCATAATCCCGTAACGTGCCTTCCTTAACCAAATCATAATCCGAACTCTGTTGTACTGACAAGGCATGGTAAATATCACTAGCTTTCCCAACTAGCACACACTAGTAGCCGAGTCCAATACTCCCTTGGCAACTTAAAAGTTTCGGCAGCTTTTTCAAAACTAGGAACATATCTGTCTACTTCTTTTTCTCTAAAATGAGGAACTGCCCTAAAAAAAAAATTGCGATATTAAAACTTGAATCTGTATCTGAAGTAGAATCGTGCTTGCCACTTACCAGCTCAGTTTCTTTCATTCCCTCTCATCCTTGTCTCTTTGTAATTGAATCTATCTCTATCCTGTCTCTCTATCTCCTCTTTTTCAAATTGCAATTGTTTATCTTCCTCCCTCTCCTGTCTCTCTTTCTCTCTTTCTCCCTCTCCTGTTTCTCAAATTGTAATTCTCTCTCTCTCTCTCTCTCTCTCTCTCTCTCTCTCTCTCTCTCTCTCTCTCTCTCTCTCTCTCTCTCTCTCTCTCTCTCTCTCTCTCTCTCAGTGCAACCACCGTCATAGTAGCTGATGACAATACCAATTGCAGTTCCATTAGATAAGTTTGTACACTCCCTGGGCACTAACACACTTTCGCTGCTGTATATGTTATGTGACAAGGGATCGTACTCAGCAACAAAGAAAAGAGTCAAAGCCAATAAGTTTTGTATATTTTAACAAAACTATTTCCCTAGACAACAATGTCAAAATTGGTAAATAGGACTTACAGTTTTTGACAAATCCAAAATTTGATCCTAAGAATGAAAACACAAGTCCTATTAGCATCCAGGTTCGAGTCCCAATTACATACAAATATGGAAGGTGATGACGTCAGATGTAGTCCAATATACGAGTAACAACTCCTCACTTGAATTGTAGTCTTTGTTTCCGAATAATTCAAGAATAAATTTCCATGAATATCTTTCAGAATATTTATAATAAAGTCAACTTGTTGAGTTTACAGGGGATTAAATTATTAAATCCAAAAATCAGATGAAGAACAATCTGGCAACAAATAAAACAATACACATTGTTCCTTCAAGATGTTGAATGACTGTCTAAAAATTATTAAGAATGCATATTTAAAACCCCTAAAACCTCAAGTCTAGCGAGATTGGTCATGTGGTCTCTTACTACACTAATTTTTTGCACATTGGCCAGTATGTCCCCACCTAAGAACCAATCACAAAATAAAAATGTTTACACATAATGATCACGCAAAGAAAGTATATCCCTGATACTGACCAATTATTTTAACTTCCTGTTGACACTGTTACCAGCCGAAGACGAACTAAGGTAAATAAAAAAATAATAATTCTAACATAATACTTCTTTGTCTGAAATAAACACTTTGTCATAAGAATATATCTCATTACTGAAAAAGAATCCCGAATCCGACAAAATTATTCATTGCAATAAAAGACAATGAAACAAAAATGAAATGAAAAGAATTTTAAAACTTTCATACAAGCAATCTAATCACATATACATAGCAAAACACATTCATTTTTTACTTATAGACACGTACACACTATCTGACAAGACAAAAAAAAAACGAAGCGTTAATAGACACACTCCTATAAAAAAAATTTTACATAAAGCAAAGCAGTGTTTATAGATGCACTTCTGTTTTTTAAACTAACAAACACATTTGACAATTTGACTAGTATCTCTATTAGGCTATTAGTGTAGCCCTGAAAAGGGATATGACTACCACTTCCTCTTCACCTATCTTTGGGTTCTGCCTCCATGGTATCCTCCCATTCCATTTCCAAAAATTTGGAGGCAGTTTGAATTATTTGTTTTCTCATGGGAGGAGAAGCTTTGGACATGACAGACAACACATCCCCATGTTTTCTTTCCTTTGGAATTAGAAGATATGTGTCTTCTAGGGGATGACATCTTTGTTAATTTGTTGGTTCCGGGGTAAGCACTAAAAATACACTGATATCAATGACTTGGCACATGCCCGTTTATCCTTTTTTTTGGTCAAAAATATGAAAAGTTTTTCCCTTAATCTCTAAACACTCCCACTCTTTGGTTGCTTTATTTTTCTTCTCAGAGGGTGACATTTGGCTAAGCGTTTTTTGTATGTTGGGTCAAACCAGACTGACTTTTTCTTTTTCCTTTCTTGACAGGAGAATGACGATAGTAGTTGTGTGCACTTCTTTAAGGTGACATCTTTGGTGAACAGAATACATTAAAGTCTATGGTTCAACGTGTGTTCCTTTATCTTTTTTGGGAGCTGGTAATCTATCTTTTCTGGCGAAATCATCAGCTAACTTATACATTAAAAGAAGAAAAATGCCCTGTTTGGTTGCTTCTCTTTTTCTTTGGATGAGTGTATCTTTTCAGATGGTGACGTCGATGCTTGGCTAAGCATGTTTTCGGATGACAAGACTGCCTTTTAATGTTTTCTTTTTGGAAAGGAAAACGGCCATGGTGTGAACTTTTTTCAGGTGCATCTTTGGGGCGTTCAGAAGCACAGAAATACTGATTCCCATCGTTTGCCCGGTTTTTATACTCGAATGCATCGCCACTGATTGTCTTTACGTTGTATCAACTTGATTACAGGCATCTTGCATCTTCGATGAGTTCGCAACGGGCAACGGGCTAAATCGGGAGAGGTCTTGCTTGGAGAAATCCAGAAAACTCTGTAACATGCCCGATCTATCTTGGACTTTGATGTGGGAGTAGGTATTCTGTGAGCAGCAGAAGAGGAAGAGGTTGTCACGGTAGGAGTATTCCTCGGACTCTTTACGAACAGCACATACCTCTCAAAATATGGAAGTTGTCTCTTTAAATTTCCAGGAGACATGCATTCTGTTAAAAGCCTTCCGACCGCACCGGTGGTCTAGTGGTTAGAGCATCCGCTTCGTATGTAGGAGGTCGTGGGTTCGAATCCCAGGTTGAGTCATACCAAAGACATTTTAAGGAATGGTAATAACAGCTGCCTCGCTCGACGCTTAACATTAAGAGGTTAGTGTTAGGACTGGTTGGCCTGGTGCAAAGATAATGTGAATAGGTGGGATATCATGACACATGTCTGCGGAATGAAGCCCCAGTGCTATACATCACTATAAACTGTCACACTGTAGACATTGTAGAGATATGACTGAAAAATTGTTAAAACTAAGTTAAAAAGTCTAAACTATTTGGCTTTTATGTATTTTTGTTTTTCGTGTTGTTCCATTTTACTTTCCAATAAACGTGTTCTGAAGAGTATAAAAACTCTTGTCTGCTATTATGTCAAAAGTGACATTTTCTGCACTATGGCTACCTCAGCTATCTCAGCTCCTTCTTCCTCCACTTTCAAAGTCATCGATGAAACTTAGATCATGCCAGTGGGGAGGCCTTGTATATTCAGCATCTCTTTAACATGTTAATTGCTGGACCCAACTTAATTTGTCAAAAGTTTGATTGAACATAAACATCATTTGATTGATCGTCCACCAACTGGTCATGTGGTGTTACAAAGTATGGCAGTCACCTTACATCCTCCTGAGAGAAGGTGATTCTATCGTGCTTGTGGAAGGCATTTCTGGCGAAGACAACGGAATTGTGTCTGACCCCAGTCAAACACATCTAGTCATCTTCGACATGTTGGGTGAAGACAAATAAATTAAACTGAATGTTCTTTTATAAAGTATTCATAACCATGTCAGCCAGTGTTTATACACACTTTGTGAGTCACATCGAGTTGTCCTTATTTTGTTCAAAATAAGGGAGTCTTGTAATGCTCATTCCCCTTGTCGATATAACGTTTGTCGTTATACAGGCCAAGGGGCGGCGTGTGTGTCTTGTAATACTAATTCCCATTGTAGCTATATTCCTCACCCCTTCACTACTCCAGGTCACCAGATTTTAGACACTGGTCTTCATTTGACCTCCACTCTACCCCAGAGCCCATACCAGAATGAGGCTATTACATTAATAGCAAATCACGTAAATAATGGCTGTCACCTGAGGAATTTTAGGGTATTCCAAAATCTAGAATTTTGACAAAAATACCCTTAGATGTGCCTTTCTAATGATATTATCAATCTAGTGGAAGGCTCGTTGGAGAGTAATCCCAGGCCAAGTGAAATCAGATCTAAACCCTTATCAGCACTGCGTTTATGTCAGGATCTTTCTTCACACGTCAAGGAACAGTCTGTGTTATTATATAACCAACCTGTGGTTTTGGAACTCAGACATAATACATGTATAATTAAAATTATTTTATCCCTCCCCACTTTCCCCTTTTTCAGCAATGTATCATTGTCCGGGGCAAGGAAATTTTCCGCTAGTTTCATGTGGGTCAGAGGTTCTGCACAGGCTTTTCTTCCACCAAATATACAGCCTATCATGTGCTTAAAATGGCAATAAACTGAATGATCACAAATTCTTTCTCAGCATATAATGTTTAACCCACCAAAGATATTTCAATTAAACATTGCCCAAGTGTTTATCATGACTTGACAGTACCAGGCGCCATGCTCAAATAGAGTATAAGAAAGTTGAGGTCACTGTGAGAATTAACATTTCAATAAATTCGAGAGTTGAACTATACAATCAAAACAAAATCTAAACCACACCAAATATCAATGCAAAACGATATTTCGGTCATTCTCTTGACCCTAATTGTTGTTGTTGTTGGGTTTAACACCATTTTCAGCACAAGATAGGCTATACATGGCAGCCAGTATGGTGGAGGAAAAACCCTGGAAAACCCCAGGAAGAACGACTGACCCATGAGAAGCTACTGTCAAGCTTTCTCATGTACTCACGTCAGCCGAGCCCAAGACTTGAAACTACGTAGACAGAGGTGAGATGACAGTGATCCAAACGGTGGGCGCTTCAGACTACTTGGCAACTCGGGCCTCGCTTATAATTGTAATCAATGCTTCAAATGAAACACTTGTTATTATAACCATACTCCTCAGGTCTCTAGTCTGCTAAGCATAAAGTCTCACTTGTTTCTTGTAGATTTTTCAAAGCACTGATGTTGTTTGTGTACCTAATAGTGTGAATATTTGGGAAAGATAAAAATACAAGCAATTAAATAAATTTAAAAAAACCTACAGAAACTTTCTCGGAAAGATGAATGTACAAATTAAATTGGGGAAGCATGTTTTTATGCATGAGGTCTTAGTGGCTGATATACAAAATGATGAGATACTTGGCAAGGATTTATTATCCTGTGTATGATGTGATGTATTGTTAAGAGAGTTCTTTGCTTGTTTGAAGAGATAAAATACCATGCTATCATTTTACAAAAGATATCAAACCTACCATCTGTAGAGGTGCAATTTCTCAAGATGTGGACTTTCCCTCGGAGACTGAGATCATTGTTCCTGGGAGGTTTGTTGACTATGTGTCTAGTATTTAGACTGGTTTTATTGAAGCCATACCACATTTTGTTGAGAAAATGGGTTTGATGTTACCTCATACTCTGGTAGAGACTGAGAGAGGCATGGTTCCTCTCGTAATTTTCAATGCTTCAAATCAAACCTGCAAAATATAAAAAAACAATATTAACTAAATGTAAGGAATGGAGGATAGTTTTGAATAAAATAAATCTGACATGGGCATAAACATTCATATTGTGACTACTTTTAATGTTTTACCTTCACATCTGCACAACATTTTTTAAGCTAGCTCTAAAACGATGAATGATAATGAAAAGAAACAACTGTGTATGATCATGATTAAATATCAAGATGTATTTTCAAAGGACTCCAAAGATTTGGGAGTTACAAACTTAGTTGAGCATAGAATAAATACTGAAGAAGCTGCACCCGTATGTCACCCCCACCCCCCATCGCATTTCCCTTGCCAAGATGAAATAGCAGAGGAAGATATCATAGATATGGCTATAGAGAGATCATTGAACCATCAAATAGTCCTTGATCTTCAACAGTTGTGTTGGTGTTTAAGAAAGATGGGTCTATACGCGTTTGTGTGGACTATCGCAAGCTGAATGATGTGATCATTATAGATTCACATCCACTTCCTAGAATAGATGATACTCTGGATGCCTTATCTGGTGCTAAGCTATTTTCAACTCTCGACTTGAAAAGTGGGTAATGGCAAGTGAAAATTGCAGACAGGGATAAGCCTAAAACGGCATTTTCAGTTCCTGGTAATGGCCTGTGACAGTTTACAGTGATGGGTTTTGGTTTATGCAATGTACCAGCCACATTGGTGAGACTTATGGAATGGGTCCTTAGAGGCTTAACCGGAAAGTATGCATAGTTTATATAGATGAATTTTAGTGAACACAGCAAATTTAAACCTTAAGTGCACTGAACAGGCTCATTTAAAACTGAGACCTGAGAAATGTCATCTATTAAAAAAAAACAGGTCACTTATTTGGGTCATGTGGTGAGCAGTGAAGGTGTCGAAATGACCAATAGAAAGTAGAGGCTGTGATGAGCTGGTCTAAACCAAAGATTGCAAGTCAGAAGTTTTCTGGGCTTGTGCTACTATTATAGGAGATTTATTAGAAATTTTTCACAAGCTCACAGAAGTTGGAATAAAATTTGATTGGTCTGAAGCTTGTCTGAAAGCTTTTGAAGAGTTAAAGTTTTCTTTAATTAGCTCTCCCATCCTTGTATATCCCACGCCTGGAGATTTGTTCATTCTCGATACAAATGCAAGTATTGTGGGAGTGTGAGCAGTTCTTTCTCAATTAGAGAACAGTGTTGAGTATGTTGTAAGCTATTTTAGTAAAGCATTCTCAAAAGCAGAATGTAGATACTTTGTCACTTGAAGGGAACATTTATCAGTTGTCTTATCAATCAAGCACTTTCAACATTACCTATATGGCAGGTATTTTCTTGTAAGAAGATATCATGGAGCACTGTGTTGGCTTCTAAGTTTTAAAACCCTGAAGGACAGATAGCTTGATGGATTGAGACACTTGCTACCTATGACTTTAAAATTGAACATCGAGCAAGGAGAATCCACTCCAATGCTGATGCGCTCTTCAGATGACCATGTCTTGAAACTGTACTTACTTCCTTTAACCTGACAGCAAATATAAATATAAAGCAGTTCAACTGTTAAGATCACTTCCTGTTGATGGGGAGGAATGTGGTACTGACTTAGGAAATAGTTCTTCCCTTTGTAGTAGAGGTGAAAAACTGCATGGTAAACCTTCTAGCCTTCTAATGTCTGATGCAAAAGATGTATCAGCTGGATGTGGTTCCTACATGGAATTTATTTCTGTGATCACTAGATCAGTCAAAGAAAGGTGAGACTGAGTGTCCACCTGATGGTTCTAATCCCATTATCCCTAAAAGGGAAATACCTTCAGAAGAGTGGTGTTTCAGTAAAGCTTCCCTGATTGATGCCCAAAGGAAAGACACCATCATTAATAGATTGTGTGAGTGGAAAGAAAATAACTATCGTCCGGCATGGTCTAAGTTCGCTAGAGAGAGAGAGAGAGAGAGAGAGAGAGAGAGAGAGAGAGAGAGAGAGAGAGAGAGAGAGAGAGAGAGAGAGAGAGAGAGAGAGAGAGAGAGAGAGAGAGAGAGAGAGAGAGAGAGAGAGAGAGAGAGAGAGAGAGAGAGAGAGAGAGAGAGAGAGAGAGAGAGAGAGAGAGAGAGAGAGAGAGTTGAGTTGAAGTTTTATTGGGCCAGGTGTGAGTCTCCAGAAATTAAAAATGATATATTGCATTATAAGTGTTACGGCGCAGTTGTAAACCTCGTACCCTGGCTCACAGTGATGCCAGAGATTCTACATGGCTTTGTTTTGACACAACTGCATGACACTCCCACTGCTGAACATTTAGGTATTAAGAAAACCCTTCACAAAGTAAGGGCTAGCTATTTCTGGTATGGCTTAAGGAGGGATGTTGGACAATGGATCACAAAGTGTGACATTTATGCATCTCAGAAGAGACCAATTAAGCGACCTAAGGCACCACTTAGG